TGATACAGAAAAACCGGTTCATGCATTTGTCATGTCTAGGCTAGACTATTGCAATGGTTTATTATCTGGGTGTCCAAATACGTCTTTAAAAAGTCTTCAGCTGATCCAAAATGCTGCTGCCAGGGTTTTAATGAGAGCTGATAGGAGATCATATTACTTCATTTTAGCTTCTCTCCATTGGCTGAGGTTCCCTGTCAAATTCAGAATTGAATTGAAAATCTTACTTCTAACCTACAAAGCCCTTAACAACCGATCTTAATTTTATATTACAAATCTTATTGTTTCATATCTTCCTAACAGAGCACTTCACTCTCAGACTGCTGGTTTACTTGTGGTTCCTAGCGTTTCCAAAAACAGAATGGGAGGAAGATCATTCAGTTATCAGGCTCCTCTCTTGTGGAACCAGCTTCCAGTATCTGTCCATGATGCTGACACATTGTCCAGTTTTAAGGCTTGGCTTAAGAATTTAATTTTTGATAAATCCTATAGTTAGGGTTGGCTTGGGTTTCCTCACCTATCCCTTAGTTATACTGCTATAGGCTTAGACTGCTGGAGGACAAACTGACCACATTTCATCACTCTGCTACGGTCTTTACTTACTCTGATCTACCCGTTTGTATTTGTAATTATTTCTATCTTTGAAATGTGCTTTTTGTTTTTCTTCCAAATCGAAGGTACACCTGCACCTACATCTGGACCTGCCATTCTATGTTTGTTGGTTTCTCCTTCCTGTTCCTCTCAAAACCAGCCGGTTGAAGCAGATGGCCGCTTGTCCTGAGCCTAGTTCTGCTGGAGGTTTCTTCCTGTTAAAAGGGAGTTTTTTCCTTTCCACTGTCTCCTTTGTGCTTGCTCAGGATGAGAGACTGCAACAAAGTGAAGATTCAACAAGTCTGCTGGCCTCCTTAGATAGAGAACTTTACTAATTGACTTTTGTCTGTAAGTGAATGTTTCTGTTCAGTGCCCTGCGACAACTTCTGTTGGGATTTGGTGCTATATAAATAAACTGAACAGAATTAAATTGAATAAACAAAACCAGGCATAAATATTTCTACTAGCAAAAGTATTACTAAATTGTGCTGGATTATTTTTATAGCCCAGTTGTTGGGCTAAAGCTGTTGAGTGACAGGTTGGTTTGCATGGCCAAATGTTTGGGTGGTTGATCAGTGTTGTCAAAGTACACCGTCTGCCATTTTAAGGACATAATTAAACCTCTGCTTTGGAGTGTGATCACTAAAACTAAGATGGTAAAAATAATTTTTTCACTTTCTTGGCTTTGCTGACAACTTTAGTTTGCATGAGAAAGTGAGTTTGGTTTCCTAAAACAGCATTAGTTGTTGCTAAGTAGCTGAAGCTACAAGGTGTTAGCGCCAATCCAACTTGTAGTTATTTAACAAATAAATATTTGAGTAGTTCTCTACAATGCAACATTTTATTTGCTCTAATTCAGTGAATAAGCCATTTTAACTCATTTTTTGGTAGAAAGCTTCACCCAGTGGGCCATGCTGGGTCAAAGTGAGACCCGTACTGTGCTAAGTTAAAGCTACCCTGAGTTAGCATGGTCTAAACTGGATCCAGCGTTGACTTATAAATTAGGCTGTTTTTAACCCTTCAGGTTTTAGTGTGTTGTAAAAAGAGAGCATCTGTCCAGCTTTACGTCACACTAAATAATTAGAATTAAACTTTTTATGATCAAAAAGTAAAATTAGTACAAATTTAACTATTTTAAAATCTGCAGATGAAATAAAGACCGAAGCATCTGATCTAACAGAAAATGTAATTTGTTGCACATTAGTTTAGTTTCACTTTGTTGATTTGGTCCGAGCTGCCTCACATGGAAAACTAACTGGAGGCCCAGGGGTTAAAAATGATGAAGAAATGAAACGGTGAGAAAATTCAACTGAAACAGAACCAAACAGAGACAAACGAACCAGGACGGGTCCGACTAGATGCTGATTCTGAATGGGTTTATTGGGAATGTGTGTTAGTCAGGGAACAACATGCATGACAACAACAAATGAAAATTATTACAGTAAACCATGAAAACAACAGGAAACTGCAGCAGCAACACAAAAATCATAACTGAGTACGATAAGAAGTGAAACGAGTGCACACACACACACACACACACCGAGGGACGTGGGTTTGAGCGGTTTGAAATGGAGTTGGTTTAAAAAATGAGCTATCAGCGATGAGTGGATGTAAAAATACATCAACATGTGTGCAAACTTCAATTTTACCTAATGAGTTTGTGCTGTAAGAAATGTAACCCTTTTCAAACTTGAGGATGACAAAATTTAAAAAAGTAAATTTGTAAAACAGTAGTCCCTTGTTTATCACAGGGGGTCTGTACCCTGAAGCCCCGCGATAAGTGAAAAACCACAAAGTAGGAATAGTAGTAAAAGTAGCAAGTAGTAGTTATATTTATTATTATTATATATATATTTTTTAAGTGTTTTAAACCTGTCCCACACTCTTGAAATATTCTAAACAATGTTCCTAAACTCTAAACGCTCTAAAAGAGCACTGCATGTCATGATCTCTGCTCTCAGCCTCCGGCTGCACTCTTGGCCACGCCCACTTCACCGCTGCAGAGTGGAGATCTGACACGCGGCAGGAGAAAAGCTTCTCCCGCAGCTGTGGGATGCACACAGGTGCAACAGGTGCTAAATAATTTTAAATTATTTATTTAAAATAAAAATTCTAAGCCAAGGATGGAGGATGTCGTGCGGCTCATCCATCAATCAGCAAACTGTGTTTCATGTCCAATCTTACTTTGAAAAACCGTGATAGAACGAGTCCGCTAAAAACGAACCGCGAAGTAGCGAGGGACTACTGTAATTCAAGTCATCTTGTTGCATGAACCATGGCTCTTGTTAAGTATATCATGTGCTTGAAGCTCCACCAGGTCTACAGCTTTTATATATATATATATATATATATATATATATATATATATATATATATATATATATTTTTTTTTTTTTTTTTATATAGTGGAATGACGGGTTGGGTTGGTCTCCCTGGTGATTTGTGAAGCTGAGCATGAAACAACTATTTTGCTAATTTTAATGGAACAATTCCCACGTTTAACAACAATCATGGTAAATAAACAGAGGAAGCTCTACATCAGGGCTGTCAAACTCACTTACAAAAGGGGGCCAAAATGAAAACCTTTTTCAAACTAAGGGCCAATTTCAGAATCTACATTAACTCAAGTTAGATAGCCAACATCTTTTCTTGGTTGCAGGTTCCTCAAAAAAAAAAAAAAAAAAAAAAAAAAGAGTTAGATTGGTCTCATTTGATGCACTTTTGGCATCATAATCAAAGATTACTGAAAAATTTCAAGTGAAAAAAGTATTTTACATTTAACGTATCATCTTGGGGGCCAGATAAGATGTCAACGAGGGCCACATTTGGCCCCGGAGCCTTGAGTTTGACGTACGTGCTCTACATAAATTACATGATTCCCTGACTGAAAGTGCATGGACTGTCTAAACTCAATTTATCCTTCAATAAAATCATATTGAAGTCATTTTATAGTGTTTTAATATTGTTAACAATACTGTGTTTTGAAGCGTATTAGTAAAATAACGACTAAGTGACGTGAAACGGGTGATGATAGATTTGTAAATGAGTGTCAGATGGAGATGTTGAACAGGCGGGATTATTTGTCACTAAAACATTCAGATCAATTCTAAAATCAGTAGTGCAAAAGTAACTTAATAAAAACATTACTTTTTCATATTTGAGAAAATAATGTTGCATTCTAAACAAACAAACAAACGAATAAAAATGATTAAGTGATTAAACTATGGGCACTTTATTTTCTTTAAGACAGCATTAGTAAGACATTTACCTGATCAGGATTATCGATCAGTGATTTAAGAATTAATAATAGACTAACTGTTTGTGTGTTTTTGACATTTTGGTTTTTAATATTTCTCAATATGCTGATGATGCATGATTTTGATCTAAAAAAAGTACTTTTAATAGATCCGAGTTCAGCGTTTGACACTTGAAGACCTGATTTTGGGTTCATGTGTTCATATTCCACAGGGTGAGTTTATAAATGATGACGTAAACAAGGAGAAACATTAAAAGCTGAGGGGAGATGACGACAGGCGGGTCGAGCTGAGAAAGACAAACAAAAGAAGGGAAAAAGAAAGAATGAGGGGGTCTGAGGATAAAACAGATTTTGTGTGTATTTATGTGTGTATGTGGTCCCAAACAGTTTCAGGCAGTCACACTCGCACAAAACACACACGGCTGTCAGGTCACATGTACGATTTCATTTTCTGCTTCTATTGTTGTAAAGCACATTTAATAGTTCTTATACTGTTCTTGTTACTTCCTAATTCTAAGCTCAGAATATTCAATAAAGAACAAGTTTCAGACCGGTGGAGCATTTAAAAATACTAACAGTACAAAGACCATAAAAGTATGCATCTTAAGAATAAAACTTCTTTTCAACTGCAGCTTTTCATTATGAAACTGTCCACTTATCACCCAGATGTCACTCAAATAATTATGGCCAGCATTATTCTGTAGGCCTTTTAACTTATTACTGAAAGCAACAGCTGGAAAAACAAACAAAAAAAAACAAAACAGCACATTTAAAATGTTTTAACCGAAGCTACATGTGAGGTTCATTACAGCCTGAATGATAAACACTTCTTGATACTCAGCAGTTAATGGCAGACTTCAGGTAAAAAGATCAGTTTTAAGACTCACTTTCACATCACGCTGTTGACTTTCAGTTTAAAGGTCTATTATTAAAATAAGAAATGATCCAGGGGACATATTTCAAGATAAACCTCTAGGATATTTTCAGTCAATACAAGGAGAAGTAAACATTTGTTTTCTGAAGATTACAGTCATGTTGTGTATTTCTGTCATGTTGCGTGTGTTTATGTTGGGGCGTGGTGGTTCTGTGAGGGAGCGGCCCTGCGGCTCCGCAGGGTGCTGCTGTATTTCTGGTAGGCTTGTGAGCGGTAACTAACCCTGGGAGACTCCGCCTCCGCTGGCAGCCCGTTCTGGGATGCTGGCTCGCCCTCTCTGGAGGTAAACAAACAACAACAAACATTAAATCACTGCTTCACTTTTGTTCCGTCAAAATAATCCCTGTAGGTAGGGCTGGGCGATGTATCGAATATACTCGATGTATCGCGAGTTTTTCAATTTGCGATGGTTAAATCGGCTGTATGGCAACATCGAGTGTAATTAGCTTTGAAAATCCGTGAATTTCTTTTCCTCCCGTCTGCGCAGCCAACTTCACGTGGGCCCTCGTTCTCCCTCACTGAATACAAACACAGCCCCTCACTGCTGCTTCACACACGCTTACGAACGTAGTGCAGGCGGCGCAGCTGAAGAGGATTATTATTTAATATATGTAAATAGTTTATGTTTTAGACATTTATTTTGTAGAGTTACAGCTGTTTGTTAATAAATGTGCCTGTGTGAAAACTAGGACAAAGCTTTGACTCAGAAATATGTTTTATTACTTTATGGAAAGAAAAAAAAATATTGAGGTAGATATCGAATATCGCGATTTTTTCATAAAAAAATATTGAGATAATAATTTTGGTCCATATCGCCCAGCTCTACCTGTAGGTACATTACTGGATATGTTCTCCAAGCCCTCAAGTTTCATGAGGAATTTATTCAGCTTTAGCCGAGAGTCGTGGGCTTCCCGGTTGTTTAAAAGCTAAAATGATGAAAACCTGATGATCAAACTCAAGTGTGGCGTGCTGCTGGTTGAAGCCTCTGGAACATGAAGGCGTCTGGAATAGGGGTTGAACGAGTATATAATTTTTAAACTCGACATTAACATAATAAAACCCAAGTAGAACTCGAGTACTTGATGATGTCATAGATCTCAAGATACAAAAATAAATAAAACTGCAAAAAAGGTAATTATTTACAAAAAATAAAATAAAAAGACCAACAAAACATTGGGAGCGTATATTATGATCCTACCATTTATCATACTGCAAATAAGTCACAGGAAAAAATAAACTATTAGTTATTATTATTAAACTGCAAACATGAAGAAACATGCAGCACGTCAAAAACGAAACTTAAACTGAAACTGGTTCTGGTTCGGTGGATTGGACCCGGTGTTACACCATACTCTGTGACCTGCAACAGTGCAACACCGCCCCCTACGGTCATACAGTGGTCACATAATATGACATCACTACGGATACTCGATGTTAAATTTTTAACATCGATAGATGTCCTAGCAATCGATGTGTAGATTACTCGAGTACTCTGTTAATGCCCTAGTCTGGAACAGACACTTGGTTGCTCAAAATTAGGCAAATTAGGAAATCAGATTTTTAATTTGTGAGATTCTCAGACAATTTAGAAACGGACAGCTGACAATTTCAGTGAATTATTGTAACAATAATATTAATAATAGAAAAGTATTGGTAATAAACAATAGATAAACGCTAATATTGCCATCTGACGGCAGGAAAATTGAAAGCAGCAAATGTTCATAATCAGAAGCAAAATGCACCAAATTATTTTTGTGGGGATGTTTTTTTCACAAGCAGTGGTTAAAATAAACTATTTTCAACTAAAAAAAATAAAGTTACATTATCAAATAAACTAATTGGCAACAGGCAAATTTTTATTTTAATCCTTCACATTAACCTTAATGAAGGTTATAGATCTTTACGAGTTTGAAACAAAACACACAAATTTGAAATAATTGACTAAATAAATTAAGGCATGTTTTAAAACACAAATAAATAGTTAATTAAAAAACAAAAAAGTAGATAAACCAAAAAATTAAATGATGAATTGAAAAATTAAGCCAGTACATTTGTAAGTAGGTAACAAATGATGTAAAAGTGTAAGACAGGTATGTAAGTAAATAAATACAAAACTACACACAAGACACTTGCAAAAAATAATGTCAAAGAAAAAACACAAATAAAATCCAAAGCTATAAATAATTTTCATTTAGAAAAGATTTTCTTCACATTTCAGACCCGTGAGTCTTAAAATCAATTTAAAACCTGCAGGTTTCTTAAAATTCTCACCGACAACCATTTTTATTCCTCGGACAATAAAACCTGAACATAAAATAAACTTTTCACAAGAATAAATTCATACTTCTGTTTTACTCTAAATTTTGTTCTAATAAAAGTTCTTGTTTAAACCTTTTGAAATTGACATGAAACCTGAAGTTTGATAAAACATTTTGTTCTTTTAAAACTGTTCAGTTAAATAAATTGATGTACTATCTTATAAAAACATGTTCATTTTTATGTCTGAGAAAACGAAAACTTAAAAAAATAAACTGATTTTACAATCAAACCTTGTGCATCAGTTTATAAAGCTCTTTCACAATAAAATGAGTAGACTTTTAAATATTTAATTATAATCAAGGTGCTAATTTGAACAAAAACATGTTTTTTTCTTAAGAATGGAGGAACGGTTTTAAATAAAATGTTCCAGCGTTGTGACTCGTTAGCCCCGCCCACCTGAAGTCCCAGACCATGACACTTCCTCACCTTTGTTGAGCGTCAGCAGCATCTGCTGGTTGCCTCTTCCTCTCCTCCTCCTCTTGCCTTCTTCTCACCTCCAGTAACTCCATCTGGACACAGAAAACCAGTCAACGTTTGTTCTGACCCCTGAGCTCCGGTCCACTCCTGCCCAGCTCACCGTGGTCAGCCTCTCCAGCGCCGCAAAGCGCTCCTCCCAGGTGGCGGCCGACTTCTCGAAGGCCTCGTGGCGTTTGATGAGCTTCTCCACGTCATCCACGCTCTGCCCGATCTCCCTGCTGGACAAGTACGGCTCCTGACCCAGCAGCCACGCCTCGGCCACGCCCGCGTCCCGGGAAAACTGGTGTACCTCCAGGACTGAAAACACACGCTCGTGTCAGACCAGACGTTTCCCCGCTGAGAACCATTAAAACCAGACTGCGCGCCCTGAGGGACTCCTCACCCAGTCGGAGACACTCCCATCTGTCCTCCCACTTGTCAATCATCTCTTTCCTCTTGTCCGTCAACTGTAACAACTTTTCTTTAATCTGTGGGGAAGAAGCGTGAATTACAAACATTTAAAGAAAAATATTATCAGAAACTCAGCTCTAATAAAACTGGTTCAGGACCAGGTCTAGGCTCTGGTCAGCTAGATCTTCATGTCAACTTTATTCTCTTCTCCAGTAAATGTTGGCTGTGGAAACACAACAAACTGGTGCTTCAAATTCTGAACATGTTTGTCAGGAAATAACCTGAAATCAAACCAGGCTGACCAGATTTGAACAACTCTGAGTTTGTGAAAGTCCCAAAACCAGTTTGTAATGTTGAAAATCCACTTGGAGGTGAAACAGAGTGTCCACCTCTGAACTTTAGAAATGCACAAGTTTTCCATTTGTTACTTTGTTAGTATTTTAAGAATTGAAAGTTGTATTTATGTATTATTATTTTTGCCAAGAATGAGGACTGGAAGTTTATTTGGGTTCAGTCAAATATCAATAATTTGTATCTTTAATAACAATCCTTCAGTTTTCATGAGTGTGCAGATTTTCTGATGCTCTGCCTCCACCTCGTCTGAAGCGTAGTGTTTCCGGGCCAGCAGGGCTTTTCCCAGCTCGATGCAGACAGTGAAGCTGTCGTTACGAGCGTCAATCTCTGCCTTGATGCCCTGGTGGTTGTTCATCAGCAGCTCCACTGATGAGACGTCTCTGAAAAGTTTTTAAAAAAATCAACAAAACAGAATCAATAACACGGCAAGAGGAAGAGCCAAGCTTTGTCAAAACATTCTGAAAGCTTCAGAACTCTTGTTAATAAATTACCGTACTTTCCGCCATATAAGTCACATCAGTCCAAATATGTCTAATACATTGGACAAAAACAAATTCGTCGCTTCGATGTAAAAGTCGCATCTATTATGCATCACTGCTGACCACCCAGAAACGTGGGCCGGTGTTGTGCCAAAAGTCAATGCTGCCAAATGGCAGCCGCAGGAGTGTGCACGGGAGGACTTTAACAAGAGTTTAACAAGATTAACACTTAAAAACAATTATTTGTTTGCTCAAAATTCCCTCCTGCAGCCTGTCATGATTTCCTTCTCTGCCACGCCCACATTTCTCCTGCTGAGGTTAACCCTTTGCTGTCCATCTGCACCGATAGACTTTTGTCTTCCAACTTAAAATTCAAAGTATGTCACATCGTACAATCATCCTAATCACAAAATATAAAAGCGTTAAAAGTTATTTTTAATTATTTTAGAACTTCTATGTTCAGTTGTTACAGTGTAATTGACCAAGAAGTACATTTCTGCTCTGTGCTGCATCTGCTGCGTGAAGGGTTAACCCTTTGATGTTACAGTACTTAAATTTAAATTGTTTATTTACACAGAAGGAGGGAGATAAGGAGTGAAACTAGGAATGTGTGATACATGTGGTACACGGTAGAAACGACAGACGTTTAGCTTATGATAGAGATCTGTATTCTACCGGATAACCGCAGTAATGCTGTGTCTGATGTAAAATCAGATGTCAGATTTAACCGTTAGAGGTGAAAACTGCATAAATGGTGTTAAAGTCTGTTTTCTTCGAGAGCTAAGTAGCGAAGCTACAAGCTAACTACGGCCGGCTTGCCGTACTGTTGCCATATTCAGACTCATGCGCAGAACGCTGTGTTCTGTCTGAAGTTAAAGTGTTGGTCAGCTTTAGAGAGTGCATTTATGCTAAATAAAAAGGGTTAAACTTAATCTCTGATCTGTGAAAAGAACGCAGTGTTGTGTGGTTTTACTGCGAGACCCTCTCTGGTCAAAGCCACAGAGGAAACTGGTCGCCATTTTGTGTCAGCTCTCCTTAAAGTGGAAGGAGACGTGCACTGGAGAACCCCTCCTTTGCTTTTGTAGCCAAACCTTCGTCTGTCAGAAACTGACTCACTGGACAGGTGGAGACTGCACCAGGCTAATTTTCCAAGAATGGCAAGGCTGGCCAAGAAATAACTTTGAATTCCAGCCACGAGTGCTCCTTCAGAAAGGGTTTAGCATTGGTGGCAACATTGTTTCATGCCACCGGTCTCCGTTACAGCCAGAGACAGTGAACAAGCTGGTGTTCTTGGCCAACAATCGTTCTCCTCTAACAATTGACAGTGAGAATTTGAATTTGAGTTTTAGTTTTGTTAAGTGTTTTCAGTGTGCACTTTTTATTTGTAAAATGCTGCTTGTTGTTGTTCATTTCTTAAGTGAGAAGACTGGAAATTGTTGAGTTAACAACATATAATTTTTTAAAACGTATGGCTAAAACTACATTTGATATCTTTTGCACTGTTTTGCACTACAAGAAATTATCCTAATACTTGATTAGTTTTTTATTTAAATACTCTCTGGAACTAGTAGTGGAATTTTCTTGAATGATATTATTTTGTGGTATAGCAGTTTTCAAAATAAATGCTGGCAAAAGGACACCCTATGTTTTTTTTTTTAATTCCTATTGCAAGTTTTATACCAAAAACATATCATGATGTATACCATTACCGCCACCCATCACAAGAGATATTTGTGATATGACTTTTATGCCATATCGCACATCCCTAAGTGAAACTGGCGATGAGTGTGATTGCAGTAAAGAAATGGGCTGGCAAAGAGCGGAGATCATGACATTCTGTGCTCCTGTAGAGCGTTTGGTGTTTAAAAACATTGTTTAGAATATTGCAAGAGTGTGGG